ACTTCAGGGACTTCATTAAAGGCTTCATTTTTTTAATTATGAAGAACAGTATGGGTGAAAAAGTCCATTTTATGGAAACCCCACCCTAATAACAGAAAATGATGTTTGATTAATACTCCTATTTCTTAGAGGTGCTTAATACAGCATACAAATGCAAAGATTGATTAAGTAAAAATCTCAGAATTACTAAGACTGCTGTAGCCTTGAAAATGTTTAAATGCAGCACACTCTCTGTAGGGTAGTGATGAGAGAAAGCTTCATAATTAATGACTGAAGTGGTGAAGGGTTATAGCTAACAGCTGATCCACTTGCCGGCAGAAGAGCTGTCATGTCTTGCAGCAGTCTGAGTGACATGGACGTGATAATTCTGACCTGTGTGCCTGCATGCCTGCAACCCAGCTCATATTAATTTATTTAATGGTACTTGCCTGCCCGGGGAGGCTGCAGTCTCCGTTCTGGGAGATACCCAGGACCCAGCTGGGCAAAGCCTGGCACTGCCTGCCAGGGGCAGGCGGTACCCGAGCTCCTGTCCCCCGGCACTGGCCCGATTCCCCCACTTGCAGAGGGAGGCTTGCAATGCCGTCAAAGGCACCGAGCCATGTTTTATTGACAGCTCCAAAGAGTTGAACGACTACCTACTAAAGTGGTAAGAACGATGTCCTGGTTGCATCCCAAGGAAATGGGAATTATTTTAGTTGTGGCCTTAACTGCCCTGTCTGCACTCTGCTAAGCTGTAACTCTTCAGAAGCGTGCTTCAGTAGCTGAAATAACTGGAGATTGTAAAAGTAAATACGTTTCTAGTCACTGTTGCACTGCTTGTGAAAACAGTGGTGCTTTCATTCACACTGCTTAATTAGAGTTGCCTTTCACGCTGCTGTACTGGAGGTGTCAGCATTTCCAATATAAACTACCAGAAATAGAGGGTAAAAGCGGTCAGGTGAAACGTAGTCGGGAGTTCTTAGAGCACAGGGATTTTACAAGCCTTTGAAGAACAATCAGAAGTATATTTGATCTAGAAAATTCGTAAGCCAACTTCAGAGGTGCTGGATAGCTTGTGTTACCTCACTGGTAACCTGTGGTGTATCGGTCACTGTCACTGCAGTGACAGAGCTTGTCTGTTACAAAAGAAGGCAAACTTTTTCATTTCCTTACTGAAGAGGGAACTTCTCTTTTAAAGCAAAAGACTAGCTAAATTATTTACCTGTTATAAATCAAAACTATACCTGATGAATGTTGCTTGGGATGCAGAGGCAGGTACTCAAATTTCAAAGTTAACATTGCCTGTGGAACCTGAATTTTTCATCCCTTTGGTGCATTTTTTTTCATGCCAAGGCTGCTGGGCTGCCGGAGGGGGAATGGTACCTTTGAAAATGTATGAGAACACGCCTGCAGAAAAGAGCAGTGCTCGTGGCTCAGTTCTCGGTCTTGCAGCCTTCTCTAGCTGACCTTATCATATTGTTTACATTTTAGTACTTCTGAGTTGGCCTTCAATTCTCCCGCATTCATTCCTCTTTGTTTTAAATTAGTGCTAGAAATACTTCCCCAGCCCCAAAAGCCACGCAGCTTTTAAGGTTGCAGTTAAAAAGATCCTGACCGCAGTCCCGTGTTCCTTGTGACAGACGCGGTGTGCTTCCTAATACTCCTGTTTTCTTAAAGCGGTTGATTATTGTCAAGTATGTTAAAGTTGATCACTTTGCTTGAGAAAGAGAGGAACAAAAGTTTTAGCAGACTAAATAGGTATAGAGTATGTATTATTCTTAAGGCTCCAAACCCAAGTATTACATGATAGGGGGTTCTAGGTATTTTCTTTTAAATTGCTGTATAAACTTAATCTTTCTCCTCTGTGGTGAGACCCATAATGTCCTATGTTATGCTAGTACCCCGATCACATCCTGGTTTTCCCCAGCTGGACTGCTAACTCATTTGTTGTATAGAACAGATTATCCTCTCTTCATGAACGTTATTATTTTTCATTTCCCCTTTTGCTTTTGTCCACGTATTCACCAGACATACGTATGTATTTGATACTACTAAAAGCTTGCTAAGGCAGAATTAATAGTTTCCATGTGGGCTTTTCTGTGACACCTGTCTCACTGCATTCAGAGGCTTCACACGAGCGTGATGAGGCAGGAGTTGGCTTGAATTGCACAGAAGGTGAGCCATCAGCACAGCGAGGATGGTTGGCAGTGTGACAGAGATGACCCCAGCCCCCTCCACGTAACGTTCAGTGATGTGAAACTACTTGTGTTCATGTTTAGGAAAAGCAGTACATTCATCAGGTCATTAGCAAGGTTGTGTTGGGGTGCAAGGCTTAGTTTGCTTAGGTGCTGGTATTTGATGACACAGGCAGGGAGGAGGTAGTGGCAATTATACCAAGAGACAGTTTCCTTCAGTTTGTTTGGTTTTGTGTTATGTTTGGAATATTTTTGGCACACGGTATATGCTGAAACAACCTCCTCCTAATGGGTGAAGTAAACCTTTGAACGTCAGCATTTTTTTCCCTTGGAAACCAAATTATGTCTATGCTACTTATTTAGCATGCATCTGTTTAATTAATTAGCATTGCCTCATAACATGCCAGATCATTGGGAATGAACTAAGCAACAGCAGACAGACTCGTGTAGTGCTCAATAGCAGAAAGCCATGCGTTCGAGTGATCTCGGCACTTCTCTGTGTTGTTCATAAATTGCTTATATGTTTGCAAGAACAGCTGTGAAAGCCCTGAAAATAAGTAATAAGGTATGGTGCTACAGGACAGTAGTCCGTTGCTGTCTGTATTTTTTTTTTTTTTTTAATTTCCTTTTTTGGAGCCCAATTTTT